AGAGGGATGACACAATGAGAGTGTATGATTTGGAGGTTAGAAATATCCCGGAATGCTTGTTGTATTGGATGATACTTGTTTAGAGATGTGGTGTGTTGTAAACAAGATAGGGATGGCTAGGATGGTTCCGGAGCGACGGATGCGGAAGGGAGGGCAAATTATTGATATTATTGACGAGTTATGGGTAGGGTTGGCGATGAGCTTCTCTCTGTCCAGTTCCCCGATAGATTGAGGGGCGGGGGAGGGGATCGGAAGAGTAAGAAAGTGATGGTTTATGTTTGTTGTCCCGAGGAATGTATCCTACTCCATGGATGATGATAATGATGATGTCTCATTTGAAGCAGAATCATCGTCCTCTCGACGGAATTCTCGGTGGCGCAAAGGTGTAGGGTGAAAGAGACCAGGAAGGGATAGCCCCATTTCTCTTCCCTAACCCATCATCATCTCCCACCTCTACACTGCAATTTCAAATTTTACATGAGTCGATGACGTCATGGCGCCTTAAAATTTCATGTAGATAATCAGAAGAGAGTGGGAGAGAAAGAGGAAGAGCGCTGATGACGGTGATGGGGAGAGTCCTTAAGACGCCCGCTGGATATTCTCGCTTCGGAGTGAATTTCGCATCCTTTCAAAGAAGGCGGATTCCCCACCCCAACCTCTCCACCCCCGCCCTCCAGCGGTGCTTCTTTTGTTCCATTCAGTCCATCCGTGTCCCGTCACCCTCTCAGGCCTATCCTCCTCTAGCTTACTCTTCTGTATCACTCTTAGCTTAGCAATTGGCCACTTTTACAGGTATTTCACGTACAGCATTTTCACTTGTCACATAACTTTGGAACATTTGCTTCTCCCATCGCTTTTGTGTCTCCCACCCACGCATCCTTTTCCGCAAATATTTCCAACCTTTTCCGAGCACACATCGAATATAGCTTGCAAGCTTTCTAGAGCCACTCTGATGCTTTTACATGTACACGTATACACAGACACAGACACACACACTATTGTTGTTCTTTCACTCCATTCTCAGAGCATCACCGATCGGACCACCGTCCGATCGCCACCTTTGCCTTTTTGCCAAACTCTCGCCATTGTCATCGTAGTTGTGGAGGATTTTTTGATAGCACTGTTTAATGTTCGCCTTTGTTTAATGCACCATTCATTGGATCCCCCTTTTTGCCCAAATATATTTAGCCAAGAGATGGCAGGTGGCTTCTTGTCGTTTGTCACATGATATAATGTTCAGTTGTTCACATGACATCTCTCTGCCATACTTTCATCAAATATACTAAATAAATTTCACAAATTTAATTTAATCAGTGACTCTGAGCCTTCCTTGTCTCTGTCCTTACCTGCATTAAGGAAAGAAGAAATGTGTTATGAGGAATTAGGTAAACTATCTATGCTTGCTGTGCACAGTAATACTTTTGCTTGTTTATACTCTCACCAACAATAACAGTCAAATGTGGAGTGCACACACATCACATTCATTATTGGAAGCGGAGGATGGTAGCGGCGTTGCATTTTCATTTTTTTCTGTCACTTCCATCCTAAACTTCCAGTCTTACTCTAACTCTCATCACACTTTCTTCTCTCAGTGTCTCTCCTCATACTTTCTCTCTCCTTTATCTTTTCTCTCCCCTCGAAAACTCCCTGTGAATGCTCTCTCTTTTCAATGTAATCATTCTGTTACAACGGTTCCCATCATAGTATTTGGTAATGCCAGAAGGAAAAGTATATGAAGAGACGGAAAAAATGATACGACACGATACGGTACACATACTATCCAAACATTCTTTGTTCAGGTCATCCATTGGAGGTCAGAAAGTCATCGGAAGGTCGAGAGTTGGTGCACAGTGGTCAGTCAGTCTCTTCCCTGATGTTGATGTGTTGGTGTCTGTCCACCGTGTTATGATTGTGCGAGGGAAGGGAAATGGTCAGTAGTATTACTATTTCTGTAAACGTCACAATCGTCATTTTCTCCGATTACGAGGCTATCCCTCTCCACTGCTCTGCTTCTGCTTTCACCAATTTTACAATAAGTAATGTCAGTCAATCTGTAATTTTGTCAGAGGTCATTGTTTTGGTTACATTCTTCATGTCTATCGCTGTTCACTTTAACCTTGCTGAAGTGTACCGTGTTGAAGGATTTTTAATGAATATTTGTATGTCTACTGTAATTTTATTGTTTTGTCTTCAATTTTGTCTATTCACTATCGCTATCATTATCTATCATCTTGTCGGCTATCACCATGGAGGATTGATCAGTCAATAATTTGTGTAGCTTTCTTCTCTCTTCTGACCGCTCGAAACGTCTCTTAAGTAGACTGTCTCGAAGTGAGACTCACCTAGTCTGCCATGGAATCTTTTGTTCATTTCACATTTTCCTTCATCAATTGAACCGAGTTTTTGAAGATCATAAATTGGGACATCCTTCAAAATTCACAACTCTTTTCATCATTGATAATATATGCCTGTGCGACAACATAACCTTCAATTTTCAATTGGTCTTTGTTGCCTTTTTGTCTGGCTGAAGTCTACGTTGATATTAAAATTGTATGTGCTGGTAAAGAAGAGTCTTGAATTGGCATTGAAATGAGCACACTGCGGTAACATCAGGGATAGGGAATTTGGAAAGAATAATGAAATGAAACATAGTTAAAAATGAAATGGCTTCGAAAATTACTCCCCACAGCTAGAAGTTGAAGTTGAAGGATGTGCATATTATCTTTTCAAGCCTCTTTTTAAATCTTTTTCCCTGTAGTGGAGAGGCTCATCACTGTTCACTGGAAATTAATGAATAGTACCTTTCAGTGCTGCTTGTGACCAAAATGATTGGATGCTAACGAGAGTTGATAGAAGGAAATGAGCCAGAGGAGTTGTTGGTAAAATTAAGTTAAAGGGTTTGGTTGGGTGAAATCGACGACTCAATTAAGGAGAAATCCAGTTCATATGAAGAAATCACCTGGGAAAGGAGGCGATGTGTCGTATTGTTGTCTTCCGGAAAAGGAAGGCTTGTTGTGAGAGCGAATGATATCACATATTTCTAGCTTATCTCGCTTGCCATGGCAACTGCTTTCTGTTGTTGTTTTAGATTAAAAGGGAAAGATTGAGGAAGCTAAGCAACTATCATTTCTTGTTCGCCATTTCGATAAGCTTAACTGAGAAGACAGGCATTTCTATCGTAGAGAGCAGCGCTGCTATCACTGCTTCTTATTATGCAACTTTCATTCCCAATCGATTTACTTCACATTCCACACATGATATACTTGTCGAGGACGTCTGATTAAAACTTTTTTAATCCGACCCATTGCTGGCAATATTAGCACCTGTCAAGTTGTACATTTTGATGATGGAAAGAGTAGTACAGTCCTTTCTCACTCTCACAAAAACTTTCCGGTGGGAATTCTTCTTTGTTTCATATTTTAATCTTTTCAGCAAAATTTTTTTGAAAATTCTAAGAAAGCTTGGAACTCCGAAGTGCCGTTGTAAATGATAGCGAACAGGAAATGCCGTCGCGGTTGTTATGTTCCTCCGGGTTTCCCGGGAAATTGTGAGACACTACTCACCCTGCGCTCTCTCCCTCCTTTACTTCTCTCGCACTGCCCATCCTTTCCTCTTTCTTTCACTCTCCCTCACATCAAAGATAAAACTTTCTTCGTTTGTCGAATTCACAAAAATCTTCGCTGTTCAATATCAATTGTGACAGTTCGGTGGTAGAGTGAGAGTGAGTCGATAATGATCGAAGATTAGCAAAGTAAGCTGCTCGGTCGTTTGCACGAGTTTATTACAGTGTGCCTGCCCTCTGTCTTCTGCTAGCAACGTCTCATTCTAATTTTCAGACGGGTGAAACGCAGAGGACGTATGAATGACGTGTCTCGTGATTCTTTCTTTGCTCTTCTCTCTCAGTGATTGGTTGCGAACAGAAGAAACGAAGAGCAGGCCAGAGAGACAGAACGTGAGGGGGATGAGAAAGAGAGTGTTTACTTGCTTCTCCGTGGGAACACCGACGGCACATGACGTCATAGTTAGTGCGAAGCTAATGTTCCCAACCCTCTCGTGCTCTGCTCCCGTCATTGCACTTACACTTCTTTAGCAGTCTGGCGTTCGTGCCCTCTGCCCGTTCGCCATGTCTCTCCCCTGTTTGTCGGTCTTATTTATGGAATGAGCAGAGACATGAATGTCCCTTCGTCTCGTCACGACACTATTCAGAGGATGTTTGCCAGTGTGGTGCTCTGCCTGTCGAAAGTACTCTCCCCTTCTGGCGTCATTTGGCTGCGGCACTCGTTGGCAGGCAGACATAGAGAGGAGGGGAGCTCCCACGATTGATGGCTCCGTTCGAGTAGGGAAGGCTTTTATCATACCTTCTGTTCCCATACTCTCGCTCACTCGACACTCTGACTCCCTTATTCCCGTCTCTATGTTTCATCTCCAGCATCGCACAAGGCTATTTTCAACTTCTTTCGCATTCTGCATCCTCGCATTCATCAGCAAACTTTCTAAGGAAATACACACTGAGATTTCTGAGCGGGCGAAATGAACCACAGGCAGGTGGCTCGTACTGTCGTTGCTGCGGTGGGATAGGGCTTCTCGGCATATGAGTTCTCGACTACGTGTATCTTCACGTGGCGTAAGATCCTAAATCAATGGTAAGGATTTAGATTTGATACGGTTCGATTCCTCTGTAATTGCCAGTTTGTTGATTCTTTTATGTTTGCTTAATTATGATGGATAGGACAAGAAAGATGAGATCTGGCAATTTCAAGAAATCAGTTGATTATTCTATTACTTTGCTGTAATATAATTTTGCTACCGTTAACAATGATATTACAGTACCGTAGTGATTGTGGGAAGTCAATATGACACACCTTGCTTTTCGTAAGAAACGAGTTTCGGCTATTTTGTTGCCTTGAAAGGTTTCGAAATGTTGATAAGCGATAGAAGAATGCTAACGATGTATCTGTGGAAGGAGAATGGACGAGAAGCAGAAGAAAAAGGGAACGGCCTAAATTATTTCGCCATTTATGCAAGAAAGCAAAGAAGATATGTCGCTCTCTCCACGCATCCACAACACTCATCTAGCAAGCTGTTCACGGCATGCCGCACCGCCAGTGTTTTTTTGTTCAAAAGTAGTCACAAACGGTCCTCTCCTTCGGAAGTGAAGAAGGAGTGAGTAGAATGGTGGATCGCTTCACCGAAGAACTTCCATTTCTTATACATATCACGTTCCTAACACAGCGCCTAGACAGCTTGACGTAAATGTCACGCACAACACTTGCTACAAAATCGTCAGCATTGCCAAATTAGTCGGGTTCTACCTGGTCGCGGTACCATTGGCCATCTCTGAAAAGAGGTTTATAATTTATAGCTACCATCCCTTTAATGTACTCCACTTTAAAAACTACATTAATATCAAGTAGGTGAAACCATTTCAACTGATATCGGGTCGAATTTGTGTGTTTTAAATTCAAATTTGAATTTGGCCCGAATCCGATTGTCGCGTCAAATTTTTTCTGACACTATCGATATGTTCCGTTTGCAATGATGCAATGATTCTTTTTCTCGTCCGTCACATTCGAATCCAGCGGCCTTCATCAGCACTCGAAAAGTTACACTCACGCAGCAATCAGATATGTTGTTCTGTTATTGTTCAGTAGCAAATTTCATGAAAGAAATCGGAAAATGTGACAAGTTTTGAGGAAGTATTTTGGTTTAGAGCAAGGTGGAGAGCCGGTGAGGGAGTTATCACAATTTTCTGGACAGTAGTAATTTATGGAAATTCATCACATCACTTTCCACTTTGTACTTTCTTTTCATTCCCCATTTTTTCAATGATGAAAGCTATCCGCAATAGAATTACTTCATCTATTGTTGTGGGTACAATTGAGAAGGACTCTCCTTCACATATGTCTATCACAAAGGAGAAGGGAGACTTGCATTGACCGAATTCCAACACTCCACGCATATGTGCTTCCTTACATCAATTACTCATGTTGATTGACGTCATCTGATGACGTGTAGATAGATTAGTGAAGTGAAATAATTACCATACAACATTCTGAAATTTGTTCCAACTGTCCACGGTAAAGTAATATGCCTATGTGTGTGTGCGTTTGTTTTATCCGTGCTGTTTCATTGATAAATAATTGTGGATGGTGTGGCACGGATGGAATAACTCCCTGGTTTTGTTTATTCTTAAAACTGGGTATCTGCTTCTAATATCCACAACGATAAAAAAGGTAAGGAAGTGTAAATGGAATTCAAAATGAATAAATGTCATTGCTATTTCTCTTTAAAACTGTTCCTGTTTACTGTTAATTTTCGAATAGAACGAGCTCCTCACGTAAAAGGTGAAGTGTAAAGGAAGGGAGTAATTCAACGTCGAAATATAAAAGGGCATGAAATAGCACAGTGTTTTTTTTAGTAGGTAGACTCATTAGTAGCGGTTCATTGACCGGACATTTTGCTCGATAGGGACACATTTGTCCATTTGAAGCATCCTTATAAATCCTCTGCAATGTGAAGTTGCGATGTATGGAACTATCTATCGGTATTTCGTTCGGATGGGATTCCTGAATGAGTGAGATCCTCCCATCCCCTCATCAATAGTACATTCCAGATATCCGATGTACCTTCTCATCCAACTCATATTGCCTTGTCCAATATACCATTGTGCTTTTTATGTCAAAAATTTGGTCCAAAAAAGGATAGGAAGAGAAAGAGGAAAAGGTTCCATTCTAGCATCGAAAAATCTAATGCTTGTTCCTGCAAAGAATTTATATTCTATTGGGAAATATTCTCTCTTTCTTCTCCTTATCTCCCTCTCTCTCTCCCTGTCCCCTGAAGCGTCCTTTTGGCTTTGAAATTATTTTTTACTTAATGAGCTTTGCGTTGTCTGCATTTCTTTCCAGGTTTTACATCAAGTAATTCCATTACTGGGCAAACCTGAACTAGGATGGAGAAATACTGAGGTTGGGATATGGAATGGATCATCTCTTCCAGATCTTTCTCGATATCTACTTATCACACTTGTTGAAAAAAAGGAGAGACATTCTATGATGCGTGACTGATTTCGTTAGTAGCGTTATCCGAGAAATGACTGCGAGAAGGGTTGTTGACATAAATATTCATTTCACATATTTATTGTTAAAAAACGTGTAATCATTCATTTCTTTCCTCAGTATTCCATGCTACTCTTCGATATGAACTTCTTTCCACTGATCTCATCGCGAAGCGGACACGCGGGGAATGAATGCCCGACTAAATTCGATATTGACAATGAGTGTGAAGCGATCGGAGCTAAGAACGAATTTTCGTTTCTTTCCACTCATTCATATGTTTCCTCTGAGGGTTGTTAAAGTGAGAAGAGGAAAGTGCAGTAATGTGTTTTGTAGCTTTACATTTCCTCTTTTTCTCCTCTTCTCATTTATCACTGCGCAGTGATAACAGTGTAATGGTATTGATGGCCGTGATAATAATGACAGTGCTATTCATAATGGTGCTTGTGGCGATGATGCATCAAACCAATCTTTTCATGAAGCTTCCATGCAGGCATGCTAATACCGTTAGATTATCGTTGCCATTGTTGTGGTTGTGATCCGCTTTCCATAGAAATCTATTTCTAGCGAACCATTCGTTTCTATTGTGCTCATTATTCAGAAATGTTTTAAAGTTGGAGGAATCTTGATGTTTAAAATTAAACTTTTGAGATTTAAATATTTCTAATACCTATCACCCAATTTTTTAAACTGCAAATTAAAAAACAGTAGTGAAATGAAATCTGAATCAGTGACTTAGAATAAGGACGATATTGAAAGAGATACTGAAAAATTGTAAAGAACATTTCTTCATGTGGATAACAGCAATATGTTGAGAATTATATTGTAAGATATGTCATCAGAAACAGTTTATTCCCAGAATTAATAATTTTCTGGAATAAACCGGTAATCCAATGAAATTTCTTTGATTGGATTTCTTTTTGTGAAGAATCTTATCTTAATTAAATCGAGCAGTTGATGAAAATCAGCTGCTTAAAATTTCACAGTTTCGAAATATCGTCAAGTCCAAAAATTCACACGGTGATTTAAAATGGGTTAATGGCGACTGTGTTATATCTGTTGCTTTCATCCTGAATATTCCGAAAATGAGCAGTGATGGCTAACGTAAAGTATACAAACATAGTAATCATTTCTTTTCGGATAACGTTAATGACGTGCATGCGATATTCTTTTCATGATCTGACGTTTAAAATGGAAAAGAGCAGTTTGGTTTCAGGATTAACAGTCTTCTTATCAAAACGGGGAAGAAAGAGAATCTTTGTCAAATAGTTTCATGTAAGTTTTAGTCAATTTCTTCCGATATTAAATTTCTGAATATGGTGATCTAAATGAAGTAATTTATATTAGTAGTGATTCTGTAACGAGACACAGCATCTTAGATTACCTTACGGAGATATAATTAAGAATATAACTTACATTGCTTAAAGCAGTAATATTTGAGTAATTATGATAAGCAAAATGATGAGGGTGGTAGTAATAATGATTGATATATGACTTGAGAAATATTTATGGAAAAAAGACAGTAACGAGAAAAATGGATGGAATTAAACGATAAAATTATTATCGTCAAAAGATGGTGCAAAGCCGCTTAAGCTCGAATTTGTATGTAAGCACATTCCCTTAAAAACACTCAAAATCACATCATTTTTCCTCATACGGGGATGATGATATCGCTGATGGCAGAAAGTGTAAATAAATTTAAGGCGTTTCAAACTTTTCTTTTTAAATTGACCAGAAATTTTGACTTAATAACACTTGAAGAGGTCAGTCTCAAATTTTGAATTTTTTTCCTTTTTTTGCATTTTAAATTTGTGGTTTTTCTGAAAAGAAGAATTGCATGTATAAGTCGAATCACGTTAGCTCTCTCGATTTTTATGTATTCCGTTTTTATATATTTTTATATATTCCGTAATTCATTTCATTGCCTTTACGACTCTCCTTCAGTGGCAGGTGGAATGGAATCGAATTGTCAAATAAACGGTTTTAAAGCTAAATTCTTTTTTGAAATTTATATTTGGAAAAAATCATACAACATTTCAAGTAAAGCTAGTTTGGGGAACGGAAAATTGATAATTGATGATAATAATTGATAATGCTAAAGAAGTTAAATAAAAGAAATGACCGCATGAGATTCCAAGTTTGACGAATAAAACATTTACAATCTTTTTAGATATCCGAAATGCCAGTTTTGCACAATTCTTAGCATACTCTGTGCAGACGATAAAAGGAAGGTGTGAGGTAACTTTTGAGTATTTGTAAGGAAATTTCTTTTTCCACTGATTTCGTTAATCAGGACTTCATATTCCATTTCTTCTTTGCTCATTAATGTAAATACCTTTATAACAAATTGTTAAACTTTTCGCTCACTGTTATTATTGTTATCACCGCTGTTATCCTTATTTATCACCATTGTTATTATTATTTGTTGTCTTTACTAAATGTATTATATTGTAAAAAAATACTGCATCAATAAAAGTGGAATATTTTTCAGAAATGGCATTTGTATCCGGAGGGGGAGGCGGTGGTAGCAGTGGAGCTGGAATAGGAAGTGGTTTACCGACGGTAGCACAACCAGTAGCTACACCGTGCGGTATACCCTCAGCGTCGTTACGTGCTCAGGTCTGCTTTTATTTGGTATATTCCAGTTGAATTAGCATGTAGGTATTGAAGAAATGTATGCAGCTGTGAATAACATTTGAAAGTAAACAAGCCGGTTACTGTAGTAAATGTTCAAACGTAAGTGCTATGGATTATAGGTTACACTGAAATGAACCGTAAGGTGGATCAATTGTTTTGCATTAAAATTTCAGGATGCGCAAGCGATGTCACCGCGTAGTGCAGCATCACTCAATGCAGCAGCTTTGGCAGTTGCGCAAGTTTCAACATCTCCAATTCCTGCAGCTCATCTACTTTATCAACAATTTCTTTCGGCCGGAGCTATTGCAGCACAATCACAGCTATTGCAAGGGACTGCAGCGGCTGCAGCTGTATCACAAACGGCACCATCTCTTCCGCCACCGACGCAAATATTACCGCAGGCTGCAGCAGCAGCAGCAGCAGCAGCAAATGCCGTGGCGGTCGCTGCGCAACAACAACAGCAATCCGTTCCGTCTCAACAACAGCAAACAGCATCTGCATCACAGTCACAACAGCAGAATCAAGCATTTGTATTGGCAAATGCGGCGCAAGCGCTTGCGATCAATCAACTACTGTTGCAGCAGAATCCGCTTCAGCAACAGGTAGACTCGTTTTCAGTCATCGCATTGCTAGTACTGTCAGGAACTTGTTTTATACGTGTCAGACATGGACATATGTTTGGTTAGTACCGTTTGCGTAACAGGTAAGCCTTCTGGTTACTGAAATTAAAAGTACATTTGTCACAGATCTTTTGCTCCTCCCTTCCCACAGTTAGGTGGCACGAAATTTCTTCCTAGCACATGTCATGAAACGTCAGGTACAAGCAGCATTGGCGCAACTGCTCAATCCGTTCGCCTATTATCAGCCACACTTGACGGCATTACTGCAACAAAGTCAGCTCACCGCTGCCAATCACATGCAACAACCGCAGCAACCGGCTCAAATTCAAGGTATGAAAATCCGTTTCCTCCATTCTGCCGACACACGTTGAAGCGATTGGATTATAATCGGTTACTGCTATATAGCTGGATCTCGTTGATGTGTCACATTAGTGACTGCTCCATGTTTATTGTTGGCTAGTAATATACTTTATGTTTGTTTTAGTTCAGAATGGGATTGGAGCACCGGTTGCTGTTCAGCAACAGCAAAAAATGATTGAAAATTTGCTGGCAGAACAAATGGCTCGAAATCCGACAACACACGACAAAATAGGTTTCTTTTTTGAGATCCCCTGAGTTCAGAAATTAGATTACAAAATTGATTAACTAAGATCTGTGAACAGATTAGGCAGAATCTCAAGAATTCGGCAGTATTTGGGAGGGTGAAAACATGTTTAGCTAGGCTTGTAAGCTCTTTTAATGTACAACTACTGGTCACAAACGATCAAATGCTGCGCTTTTGAACAGAAAGAGTATATTTCATTGCGATCCCAAACTCAATAATTAAAACATATTTAAGATATATCACAGCCGGTCGTAGCGGACAGTAGAAATATCGGGTTGCTGACAAGTGCGGAGTTCGTTAAGGAACACATATCTCGGTTGATTAGTGAAAATGAAGCAATTCTGGAGCAGAATCCAGGTCTTATCAAAAGGCGCCCATATCATCGTCAAGTAGGCTCGCAATCGTCCGTTGAACTTGAAACGGGTATTAGAAGTCAAAGTAATTCACCAGGTATTCTCAATTCATTTATATTTTTCAGGGAACTTTTGTTTTTATTTTGATGCGAAGCGGATGTGATTTTTCTTATTCATATATGATAAAATTTATGCTTTTTCAGCCGCTTGACATTAAAGTATATCTATCCTCATAATGTTCACATTATTTAGGTTTACGTGACGTACGCTTACAGTTTACACACAGTCAGTCATTTTATGAATCGCACAAACCACTTGCCATACGAGTAACCGGTGGACCATTAACCAACGGTCATCCAATCGTAAAAGCATCAGACAAATGCACATGCAATTATTGCGAATTAAAATTCCCAAATGACGCTGCTCTTGTTGCTCACGAAATCCGTTGCAGCAAGTTTGTTTTATTTTACCCTTACAATTTTCGTGAATTGTTTATTCATTTATGGCTGTTTATTGTGAATCATCCATTGTTCAGTCATTTTGAATATTCCATTTTTATTTTTATTTCATTCTAATAACTCTCTGAACGATTACCATCCTCATTGGCTCGACAAGTATGAAAACTTTGCGAACATATCCCGTAAGTATAAGCTATTGTGGTATCTTTCCTTATCCCATCCGAGCATTCTTTAATTCAAGTTTTTCCCTTTTCACTTATTTGTATGATGATTGAGTCATATACTTTCGTTGGAATTCCTTTTTATCAGTATGTCGTCGTATCCGTCGGTTGTCCCGTGAGGGACATATTTGTTTAAGTTCGACAGTGTTATCAAAACTGCTAATTTTCTTTTTTTTTTCCCCTGTAGTTCCAAGAAATACTGAATTTCTAAATTTTTTATCATGTACATTGCCCCCTTACAAAACGATAAGTTATATGTAGTATTGTTTATGAACAGAAATTTGAACCATTTTGCTTCAAAGAGATTTATCGAAGTTTGTAATGAAGAAAACCATTACTCTGTTCCTGTCGAGATTTATAGAACAAAAAGACGAGCTTTTTGTTTATACCAAGGATTGAGATAATAAAGATGAGGTCCTTCTTTTGTCACTCATATGATAGGACATTTCATGTGATGTTGTTAACTAATCGTATATACATTGTATCTGTACCTTTTGAAGACGGGCTGAGATACATTCGCAAGCAACGTCGTCATCAGCATCATCACCAACAGTAGCCGCTGCACATCTTCAAATGACTCAGCAACAAAACTCGGCAAATGCTGGAGTTGGGCGTAAGTCGATTACGTGCAATAATAATACTATATCTTCTCCCGTGTTGCACGAAAATCGTCATCCACTCAAACGACGGCTTCTAGCAGCTGCAGAACATCTCGACGAATCGCAAGCATCCACAAGCAAAACTCCGAAATTGGTATAAAATTTGATGTCATATTAAAATTTACATTTTTCTGCAACACATTTTAATATTACTTCATTTTTTATCTATGAACCCATCTGATAGTATAACTCCTATTCGACATCTGCAAAATGTTTATTTAGTTTTTGGCAGTGGCTAAATTTCTATAATTGTTTTATTTATTCGTTAGCATTCATATGTTTTCAAGAATGCACCACGAATTATGAGACATATTTCATACTGTCAAATTATACAATTGTTGTTAAAGATCATATTCGGTATTTATTCAGTTTAATGGTTCACCTTCAGGAAACGCCTAAAGCAAATGCAAATGTTACAAATGCAGTCTGTATATCGTTCCCTACGACACATAACAAAACACCAGTAGTTCCCCAGCGAAGTTTCAGCAGCATTAGTAATATTAGCGCTGTTAGTGAGACTTCCGCTCCTGCTACACAAACCATGATGATGGTAACTTCTCATCTCACTAATCAGTTTGTAAGTTCGAAGAATCCACAAACGTATCAGCGAATATGTCCTCCCTCAACGATCCCACAAGTATGTTTTCGTATTTCATCCATTCGATTTAAATATGTCATCCAGGTACACTTAGGATTAGAAGAAGTTTTTAATGTATCGCCACCACTTTTTCTTAGTTATGCGATTTTCTTTACAAATGATTAATCGGGATGCTGGTGACATGTGTCATCACACGTGAGATAGCATGCACAGAATATATTCAACTCAAGTTAACATCTTTCAATTATGTTTCGTTCTTTTTGTTTAGAGCATCAGTGCAGCGGCCAACAAACCATACATTTTAACGTTGAACGACGTATCAGCAGTCCGCAATGACGGTACGTCACGTCGAAGTCGCATGCGCAATATTACAACAGAAACGTTTGCTACGTTGAACAAGCCTCAGCCAATATTCTGCCAGCATAAGCCGAAACTAAGCATGTACAGCAACTGGCAACAAGTTAGATCTTTTTTTTTTTGTTATAGGATTTATTCTTGTTTTTAAGATATTACCTAGCAGTTTTTTAGCATGCAGTTCAAACTGGTTTTTAATTTCATGCTTAAGAAAGCAAGTCCTTTCATTCCATATTCATTTGGATTCGTAAGGTTTATTTTTCAAATAAGGTGATAAACAGCAGAACTTTTTAAAGATTTAACTCTTAATAGGGTTTTCAAATTTTTAAGTTCACCCACAAATTTTATTTATTCAGTATTTGATTTTGTTGCGCTTTTAAAGGTTCATTAGTACAGGAATTCTGTACCGACATATCGATCTGGTCTACTGATTAATTATTTTGCACTTGCAGAGTGCCGTAGATTCAGAGGAAGCAAAATTAAATTTGCTGTACATAAGCACATGTTCAACAAAACCACGGATAGGTGTTAAGCAGCTATGGAGGTATACTACGGCATTACGTGAAATGGGTGTCCTGAAAGTGACGCATTCTTCATTTTGGGATTACTCGACCAAAGTATGTGATTTTTGGCATCTATAAAATTGACAGCCTGCTATATTTACAAAAAAAAAGGAATTAAAGCAAAAATAACCTTATATTTGCTTAAAATCACTTAAACAACTTTCTCTCCACCTTCGTGAGCTCTCTGACTTTCTTTTTTTTGGATTTTTACGATAAATAGAGGGAGGACAAAAAAAGCAAATCTATTACAGATACGCTTGCGTCAAAATGCAGCTGCTACTACAACAACGACAGCACCGATGCATTCTCAAGCAGTGGTTGCAACGTTTGTTCAGGAACGCTCTTCTACTATCGCATCGACATCAGCAACTGTTTTTATCAGTTTCACATCGCCAAGTAACCCTCCCAACGGAAAGAGTGATAATGATGCAAACATTAATGATAAAGAGAATATGGCAATGGCGGAGAAGGATCGAAATGCTTTAACTTCATTTAAAGAGTATATTTCTCACATTCAATAATGCCCCGATGCATCAGTTACGCTGTTGCAGATTGTTAGTGCTATAATAAGAGGAAAGATTATATCCATTAAAAAATCTTCTAATTCCGCTAATCATTACGAATCTCTAAAGTTGGCAGTTTAGATAGACTTAACCTCCAAGTTAGGACGACAGGGCATACCAGTGAGGATGATAAAGTAATCAACAACAAAAGAACTTTGAATGAGAAGTCAGTTTATTTAAGTCAAACCAAGTTTGGTACAGATTTCAATCTATCATTGTTACTGAGCTAAACATATATATGACTTATAACCTAAAATTTTTCCTTTAGAATTACTGATAAACGACAATCACAGAGAACTGCGAATGAGTCAACAAAAACGTTGTCTCAGAAAATTGTGGGAGGTTATTTCTCAAATGAAGTGTATGTATATGTCCGTGGACGTGGACGTGGTCGGTATGTATGCGGTCGTTGTGGGATACGTTGTAAGAAACCGTCGATGTTGAAAAAACATATTAAGTCAGCTGATTTTCTCATTTTATCACAGATTGCAGTTTTTATTTGAAAGAATCGTACCGGCTCATATTATATTCATTCTGTTCTGATATCTTAATCAAATTTTGAAAAATTTCATCGCCTTAACCCATACCGTCAGAGTTGTTCGACTACTTTTGTCATGTACATAACGCTATTTGGGATGAGGATTTTGAAGACATTCCGAAGGCTTTTTTATATCAACATGAGCTAATCTTTCAGAACTGTGGACTGCATTATAGAAAAAGAAATCTTTCTTCTATTGGATGTCCATCCAAGGGATTATTTTTATATCGTTTGTAGGTCACATTCGGATATACGGCCATATGGTTGTAAACAGTGTAATTTCAATTTTAAAACAAAAGGTAATCTTACCAAACATCTGCAATCGAAAACACATCGTCGTAGAATGGCTGAAAAAGAGAATCAGAAAATAACTGAGCAAGATTCGGATAGCGATCATGATCGATTAGAAATTGCAAGTCTTAGTGGGACCGCCTCAACTTTTAGTAACGATCCACTTTCAGACGATGAATGGTAAATTTTTCATTTGCAGAATTTTCGACTTCTAAATTTATTCTATAATTTTGTTTGTGATAAACGTTTAAACATTCCTTAGCAATCTAACACTTTCTCATCTTTTTTTCAGCTCATCAGACGAAGAATTGCGACCACCCTGCAGTGACAAAAACAAAAATATGTATCGAAAATTTGGTCAAGGTGGTCGCTTTGTATTTTAAAATTTCATCCATAAAATTGAAATTAATGCTAAGCATCAAGAGGTTCCCCTACTTCTTGTCAGTGATGACTAATAATTAAGTTGTCAAAGCTTAATTGTTAGTCGTATTGCTGTGGTCATAAAATTTTGCTGCCGTACAGCTTTTTATGTACAGATGAGGTAAGCTGGTTTGTCATGGAAAAAATTCATTTATGGTCTTATAGGTATGGATATAATTTGATTACTATACTCTGATCAGAATACTCCTGCATGACTCAAATTCTTTCTTGAAATGATCTGGAATTCTTTCTCACCCGTTGTCCATGTAAAAGCGCAGTTAGTTATTTATTTAGTGGAAAATTGCCTGGTTGCTTTGTTATTTATGAATCTAATTTATACTAATATTCAAGAAAACACATTAATGGAACGAACAGCTCATACACCGCCAATGTTATGGATTGTTGGTGAGACGGTTTTTGACTGGGCGATTCCGAATTGCCTACGCTCATGTCACAGCGCACCACCTAGTGCGCGGTATCCATCAGAAGGACGAAAGCAGCAAAAACTGTTGGAAACGAATTTTCTGTTGAAAAAGGTTCTGATAAGCTTCTGTTGACGACTTCGATTCAGTTACTGAAATTTACAGTCAACTTTACTGTCCATTTACTGTGGCGCTTTCAAATTTTTTCATTTTAAAATTCAGGATACCTCAGAAGAGGTCCGTAGCTCTGAAATCAAACAACCATCAACCTGTGCTATAGCAGTGGTTCAAACTTTAGCATCTACAACCAACGTTTGTTCACAATTGCAGTCATTATCATCCTTCATAACAGAGCAGCAGCCTTCAGTGGGAGCATTTTTTGCTAAGGAGGTCTGTAGGAATGATTTTAGAAAACTGATTTACTGTCTAAATTTTGCATAATTTGCTGATTAGTAATAATAAAATGGAAATATCTCTATTCCTTTTCAGTGACAAGAATTCATTCTCACAATTTATAAAATACTTTACGTATCACATAATAAAAAGCCAATTGTGCTGAAATATTGTTTACAAGTACGAAATGGAGTCATCTTTCTTCTTTCTTGTGTAATCTGTTATATTTTTTTCAAGACAATGATATGCGATATTTGCAAGCGTGTATTTCGAAGTTCGACGGAGATGACATTGCATCGCAAAATCCATTTAATTGGACCGTCAAATTCACGTATACGATCTTATCAGTGTAATGAATGCAAATATTCGGCTCGATCACGTAATGCTTTGCAGCGACACATGGAAGAAAGGCATGGAATTGTTGAAAGTTTGCAAGCAGAACAACTAAATGATTCAGATAACGGTATGCATTTATAAATTGTTACTTAAATGGAATTTATTGTCTTGCAAAATATCCGAACATAAAAGAGCCTCGTGTGGAAACTGTGTAGCAGCGTGTGAAAAGCACTATATGATGACATGTAAAAAAGATAAACCGATATGTAAGGGTCGGATAAGTGAGAAACCCGACAACAGTGGATAGAAGGGAATCATTTGGCAATGAATGTATATGTATATATTTAATAGACATCGATTCAATCAAATTTGAATGAAATCTGGCCACAGTTGTGCAGAACAAATACATGAAATAATCTGAGCGGGTTGCCGAAAGGACTATTTCAGAAGAAACCAATACAAACTCATCGTCAATGAATCCACGATCATTTATGTGTACCGATTGCAATATTGGATTTCGAAAACATGGTATCCTCGCGAAACATCTGCGCTCCAAAACCCATGTAATGAAGCTGGAAAGTTTACGTATCATCCCAGAAGATTCTCTATCACTGATAACACGTAGGGAGGGAGGTGTATATTTGAACGAAATTGATACGACGGATTGTGAGCATGCACGACAGAGCATTCTCGGTTAGTTATTTTATTTTGCAGCTTCACTATTGACAAGAACCTTAACTTTGAATTATTACTCGGATTATGCCTGACATCCTCTTGCACTTATTAAAATATCTTTTATAAATTTTAAATAAATAAGTCCTGATAATTTTTACAAATGGATCAAGCACCGTTCCCTTTGCAGCGACAGAATTTTGAAGCTACATTGTTCAGATGACTCGACTTGATCAGTAATTTTTTTTTAAGAGAAAAAGATCGAAAATTTTTGCTTGTCTTTGAATTTGTTAATCAGTTATTTTCTATTATTAGCTAAATTAAAAAAATTAATGTCAGCTACGGTTTATGTTATATGTATATTTCGTAAAACCTAAACACTTCTTAAGTATAAAAATTGATTTTTTAGAAAATTTCGAGCAGAATACCGCAATGCAATACAACTCTCAGTCTATTGATTTGATTTTCAGGAATTATTTCTACATTACGTGATTCAAATACGTTGGAATGTCGTGAACAAATGTCGCATTTGTCAGTGCCGTTGCTACATATTAGCAATAATAATAATAATAATAATCATAATAGCATGAACATTAGCTATTCGTCGCAACAGTTAAAGATGCAGCGTTCTCCGGTACCATCCACTAGCCAATCCTTTATTGAACATAAACGATTCCTAACTGGTCAACAGCACACAACAAAACGTCCCGATGTTCTAGCAGTAAAAATACCGGTATAGTTTCTTGTTATTAGGAAGTATAATGACGAGAACTGATGTTAAAGGCAGTGAGAAATGGGTGGGAAAAAATGTGTATAATTACTCATTTATAACAGTTTCTCTCCAGGCCAGTTTATTTCATTAAGCAAATATTGTAACATTTTAGATTGAAATGACACCAAGAAAATGCGATATGACAATGTCGCAACGAAAAACAGACGAGTTGAATGGGAAATCGATCTCCGCAAATGTTTGGATGCCACCGAAACTTGATGTAAATTCGATATGAGTTCAAGTTATTTTGTACCTGTTCATCTTTATTGCTAGATCTCAGAAGATATCTACAGCACGAATTTTTGTGTGGTGAATACACGTTGATTAACAAAAACTGTTTTTCACTATTATATTCTTTCATTTTTCTTTGTCATTCATCAATTCCATCAAATAGCTGATAATTTCTATACGCGTCTTTTAGCTTGCATAAAGCCTCTAAAATTTTATTTGTTTATTGTTATTTATGCTTCATTTTATAGTGTGTTTTTATTGTAATCTACAGTTTCTTTTCAGTCTTCTGATCGTCGCTCTGTTGATTTAATTGGACGTTCAACAGTTGACTCCGCTGCTCTTTCGGATAACGGTAATGGTTTGAGCTTTAAAAAAGTTTTAATACATTAAATTAGTGCTGGACGTAGAATATCGTAATCATGCAGCGCATTATCAAGTATCTTATGATTGTCCTAAAGCTTTGTAATTTATGAATCGAATTATTGATTGATATTATTTTATATGCAAATTATTGAATGCCACCTTTAGGTTCTTCTGTACGATCCGATGAAGCAAACAGTGAAGGAGCTGGACGTAGCGAAAGCTCGACACCAACGCAACGTGTTTTAGCTGGTACTGCGCCATCACCCCTTTTGCCAACTTCTACCAGATGCAGTCTTTGTGAGGTCAACTACGAATCCAGCTTTGATTTGCAGGTAGACCGCCTTAGCAGGCCAGCGCGCAATTGTTTTTTTTTATGTAACTAAATTTCCGAAGTTTACTGAATTTTCAATACCCACTTCAAAGTTAAGATGCATAATTTGTTGAATTTTAGAAACGAGCGGTTTGAATTTACAAATTTTTACAGTAGATTGTGCAAATATGATCTTGCAAAAAGTTACATCTCAAAAGCTATTTATTAATCTGTTACTATTCCTATCATGTGGTATTTATTAAAAGTCAGTTTAGGTACATCTTCACGCTGATCATGTAATGCTGCGAGATGGCAAAGATTTTTGCTGTCCAAAGAAACAATGTGACAAAGTCTATCCAAGTCGTGAAAATCTCAGGCAGCATATCGCTGCACACTATCATGGCGGTGTTACTGCACCCTTGCCAGGTTTTAGTTTTTCATTGTCCCTTTTAAAAAGGAAGTGGATATTTTCTTGTTTATCTGCTGCATAATTATACAATTTAAACTAGTAAAATTTCATAATTGCTTGAATACATTATGGCAATACTCCACCGAGAGCTGAAAAGTCTTTTCGTGCTCGAACATTGGAGATATTCAGCAAAAAGTGACATTATTTAAAATAATTGAATTTCTCTCTCTCTCTCTCTCTCTCTCTCTCTCTCT